TGACCAAAGTGGTCTTGACGCAAACGTTTTTAAATCTTTGAACATTGGTTACTTTTTCACTCACTTTCACTTTTGCTTTCTTGTTTGTCAAGTTACTTAACACTGTCCTAGGATTCATTCCAGTATAAAAAGGGATGACTCAGTATTGTGTACACACATAAGAGACAATGGTTCAAAGAAATGACTTTGTTATTAGCAGCCTGTTGGAAAAACATATTTTGTTCCCGCTTCTTTAGTTGAATCACTACTTTCTGTAGAAGCCTATTGGAACAATGAACGATTTCTTTCAATTTCTTAAGTCAAATACACAAAAAACAACAATAACATAATTTAAAAGTCATAAAAATAGTAGTTTTGCACCATGTCCTTCAAGAAGCACTAAGAACTATTCCTAAAGAAAAAGAAAGCACACAAAAGCTTGCCTAAGAATTCAAGACATACTGAAGGATAATGACTTTCAGCCTTTCAACTCAGAACTGTGCAAACTTTTGCCTTGTATACTGTATTTCCATTTAAGTTTGCACATGTTTCAAAAATTGCTGCACCGATGTCACTTTTTTTTTTTTTAGCAAAATATAAAGAAATGAGGACTGCCTCCAGACTTTTACACAGCACTGTAAATTTTTTAAAGCTCTGAAAACAGAATTAAAACTGCATCCACTGCTAAATACTCACTTGTATTTAGCATTGGATGCAGTTTTAATTCTGTTCATCTGTTCATCTTGGAAACCACGATTCAATTTTGTTGGTGTAAAACACTAGCCTGATTTTACACATTAAATGTTTAGTTTATTATTTTTCTACAGAATATTCACAGGTTTTAAACTTTGCCGATGGCCCTAAACACCCTTCCCTGGCCGGACCTCAGGTGTCAAAAAGTCCCAATATTTCCTGACTAATGAGGAACTTACCATTCTAGGATGTTGGAGGGAAGGGGCTCTGCACAAATGTAAGGCACGGGGTCTTTCTTTATCCTGAGGTAATCCTGCTTAAGTCTCTGAGTGGCTGTAGTTGGAGCTCTTTTGTTCCCGTTGTTGTTCATCTGATGATTGAGAGAACATGAACAGTGAGAAAACAAAAACAGTGAATTGCATAAATCTGGTTTTACACTGACACCACTGTCCAGATGTATTCCTTTACATTAGGAAATCAAAGCATATCCTGTTTTACTATGGATCTGAACTCTGGACTGCATAGATTTGAATGATTGAATGAATGAAGAACTCTGAATGAATGAATGAATGAATGAATTATTCTGGGTAGCGGAAAGCTTTAACCCTAATATGCCTGTGAAAGGTAACTGCAGCTTCAACTAGAGCAGATCAAAGAACATTGCATCCAGCACTGTCACCTGACCTATTAAATATCAATACTATTAAATATTTAATAAACTCTTAAACATATCACTGCAAATATTATTTATATAGCACATTTCATTACACGTAGGTTAAATGTGCTTGCCACAAAAGATAAAATATTTTTAAAACTATGTAGCTGTACAATCTCTTAAGGCAATAAAAACAACATAAGAGAGATACGTTAACAGTCACACACAAACACAAAGTTTTTAATCATATGCCTCCAAGAATAAAGAGGCTCCAAGTTTGTTTTTGAATGTAGACACAGTTGGAACTGACATCAGGTCAGTGGGAAGGTTGTTCCAAAGAAGAGAACCATTATGTATGTACCCTCAGCAAACTTTCATCTCATTCTGGTAACAGTTTACAGACCTGCACCTGATGACCTGAGAGGTCTAGTTAGGTTATAGACCTAACTAGACCTCTCAGAGTCCGAGATGTA